TAACAGGAGTGAAACTCCGTCTCAAAAAAAAAAAAAAAAATTTGCCTTCATCAACCTCTTTTTCTGGCTGCATAGTGGGCTTAACAATGAGTATAGCTGTAGATTATTTTAAAGGCACAAAGCAGAGAATGAAATAGGAATCTGAAGCCAGCTCTCTTAAGGTCACCATTCCTAAGTCTGTAACATCCATGAGGACAGGGCCTGGTCAGTCTTCACTGGTGTATCCCAAGCACAGAAGAGGTAAAGTTACTGAGAATAGAAAAGGTAGAGAGGACAGGGGCTTAATGGGAAAGTCCAAGAGTCCCCAAAGAGAATGTGGACCACCGACTAGTGGCAGGTAAAACAAAAAAGCTGAGGGGCCAACTAAGGTTGGAGACTGGTTTGGCAATGGCACCAGTATGTACTGCTGGCCTAGTTGTAGGACTTTTTCCAGTAGTCTCAGTGACCCAAGAAAATAAAACACATAAATTACTGAACTTATGCAGGGCTAGGGCTTTCCCAGGTGAGGTGAAGGATAAAGTAAAGATGCTAAAAATACTGATCAAGAGTAGTTCTATCATAGCAGGGGTTCCCAAACCTGGTTTATCATCACACTACCTGGGAAACTTAAAAATTGGATTCCAGGGTCCACTTTGGGCCAACTCAATCACTATCTCTCAGTGTGCAGAATGGTATTTGCCGTACTCGAGTAGAGAAGGGAAGATGGAATGACTGGGGGAACAAAGTCACAAACCTGAACATCTCAGAGCGTGAAGGCCTTGAGAGCCAGGAAGTAAGAGGAGGATAGGTTATGGGCAGAGAGTGGGGTTGCAGTCTAAGATCATATGTAGAACAGTTGTGCCTAACAATAAGACATGGCTTTGGGTGTGAGTGGCTGGTACAGAGTAAAGATGACACTCCACAGAGCTGAGGCTGGCAAGGACTTGTAAAGCTCTGGGTGACAGGTAAATTCATCGCATCTTTCGACACATGTAGGAGAACCACCAGATGCTTACATGAGCTAGTAAGGAAGGTATATGCTTCAAAGAATAAGGGTCTCAAAAATGATGCAAGTAGAAGTGGTCTGGAAATAGCAGAGGAGCTAGGAAAATTTTTCAATATTGACCTTCCAGCCCCGGGTAAATTAGAAAAGGGAGAATGAATAGCCTCCAATCAAGTGGAACTGGCATTTGTGTTTTTTTTCCTTTTAAGTGCTGTTATTATGTTTCTTCTAAACAATGGGGATACATTTTAGTCCAAGTACAAAGTTTAAAAGACTTAATAAAGAGCATTTATTAATATAAGTGAAAGAGCAAAGAAAATACCTGTGGTGATACTGCTGCAGTAAATGTTAGACAAGTAAATATGGCCATACAATTTAAAATGTTTTGGCCCATCAAATTTAGATAAAGAATTCATCTAGGCCGGGCGCAGTGGCCCACGAGGTCAAGAGATCGAGACCATCTTGGCCAACATGGTGAAACCCATCTCTACTAAAAATATAAAAAAAAACTAGCTGGGCGTAGTGGCGTGCACCTGTAGTCCCAGCTACCTGGGAGACTGAGGCAGCAGAATTGCCTGAACCCGGGAGGCAGAGGTTGCAGTGAGCTGAGATCGTGCCACTGCACTCCAGCCTGGTGCCTGGTGACAGAGCAAGACTCTGTCTCCAAAAAAACAAAGCATCTAATCAGTGATTCCAGAGCACCTAATATGTGCCAAGCACCATTCTAGGTACCAACTATGACAAAACAAGTCCTTACCCTCATGGGGAAATAGCTAATAAGTAAATACACAGTATGTCAGATATTGATAAATGTCCCAGAGAAAAATGTAAAAAGAAATAAGAGTGCTGAAGGGAAAATGGAAGCAGAAATTATTACTTTATAAGATGATCAGGAAAGGATGACTAATTGAGAAGAGATCTGAGGGAAGTTGGGTGTTCTTGGAAAAGAAAATTTCAAAGGCCCTTCGTAGGCGGTCAATGTTCTTGGCTTGTTCAAACAACAGTAGGGGTATTGGTGTAGCAGAAATTAGCAAGGAGGAAAGTTAGGTGGGTAAGCTAGAGGTCAAGTTGTATATTGTAAGACTTTTAACTGCGTGTGAGATAAGAAGCCATTGGAAGGTTTGGAGCCGAGAAATGACCTGATTTAACATTTTAAAATAATGTATAATGAGACGGAACAGCTAAAATTATCAAAGGATCTTTTATAAAGTAAACACTGATAATCAAATTCTGGCAGTAACTAGGCACACTATCTTGTTCACATCTTAACAATTGTTTAATATTCTGGAAACTATGTATATCACTGAAGAAAGGCATAAGGTAACTTACTGCAATTTGTCTTTTATCTGTTTCTCCTCTTTTATGATGAAGATCTAATGAATCAGTTAAGAAAAATCTGATAGTATTAAATATGAGAATCTCAACTCATTTTCAGTTATTTGGAAAACATACAATATTAAATACTCCTTTAATTTACAAAAATGGATCATTCTAACATCACATACTGATGAAAGGATACAAGTCAAGTATTCTAAAATGGTAACATCCCATATGTAGTCATAGTAGGAATCCATAGCATCATGACTGAAAGACAGAATTCAGTTACTTCTTAAGCAGAAAAATGTTGACCTTATTATTTTTTTTAAAAAAGTATTCATACCTGTTTTGTTCTTGCAGAGATTTAAACGCTGTTTTGTAGTCAATTTCTCTGAGGAACTGACATAAAATTGCCACCTACATCAACAAAGATTTGAAAATGGCTTCAAGTCATGACAGTTTGGTTTTAGAGGGTAATCTTCTTATAAGAATATAATCTTTAAGAAGCCTTATAGATCACATTGAATCAGCTCATATTTATGGATTCCATCCAATTTTAATTTCAAAAACCTTTGTACACATGTCTGTCTGACCAATATTTTCTTCATCAGTGACCTAAACCACAAATTTTTAGAGCTTTGTTTGAATGAGAAGCTGGCAAAAAGCCAGTTCAGAAAACTGAATTGAAGGGGTGGAAAACTGCCAAGCAAAAGTGTCATGACATTCAAGGACATACAGAGCGTCCAATTAAACCTTTCACAGCTGGCAAGTACAGAAGCTTGTTTTGGCAAAATTTAGGCTGCCAGTCTGCTTAACGTAGAAAATGTCTATTTCACGCAGGTCATAATGTCCACCTCTAAAAACTAGTTTTTATTGATTTAATTCACAAACCATAAAAGTTACCTTCTCAAAATACCCAATCTGGTGATTTTTAGTATATTCACCAAGTTGTACAACCATCACCACTATGTGATTTGAAAACATTTTCATTACTTCCCCCAAAAAAGTTCATGAGCAGTCACTCTCCATTCCCTCTCACCTCAAGTCTCTGATAACCACTAATTTACTTTGTCTCCATAGATTTGCCTACTCTGAACATTTCATATGAATGGAATCAAAGACTGTGCAGCCCTTTGTGTCTAGCTTCTTTCACTTAGCATAATCTTTCAAGGTTCAGCCATACTATAGCATGTCACAGTAATTCATTCTTTTTTATGGCTGAATAACATTTCATTGCATGGATATGCCACATTGTGTTTAGTCATTGATCATTTGATGGACATTAGGGTTGTTTCTACTTTTTGGCCATTATGAATAAAGCTGCTATGAACACTTGTGTACAACTTTTTTTCTGGACCTATGTTTTTAGTTTTCTTGGGTATACACCTAGGAGTGGAACTGCTGGGTCATACAGTAATTCTTAGGGTTAGCTTTTTGAAGGACTGGGAAACTGTCTTCCTGAGGCTACACCATTTTGATGCTATACCATTTTACATTCCTACCAGCAACATATGAGGGTGCCAATTTCCCCACAGCCTCAACAACTTATTAGATGTCTTTAGATTACAGCCATCCCAGCGGGTAGGAAGTGGTACCTCATGGTTTTCATTTGCATTTCCCTAATGACTAACACACATTTCTAATCTAGAGTATCTTTAAAAACTTGATGCTTTTTCCCCCATTTAGGAAGTTTAAAGGTCAATGTTTTTAATTCTTACTTTCATTTTAGTTGACATTCTATAAACCATTTTTAAAAATTTAAAGAATATGCCAAACTCTTACAAACCTTAAGTGATTTTGATATGGAAAATAAAAGCTAATTTCCAGTTCAATGCTTTACATTTATTATAAACTCTAACATACATGAAAATAAAACTTCATAATAATATAAACTAACCTGTGTGTGGCAATTCAGCAAAGAACAACATTTTATCATTCGTTTTATCACCTACAAAAGCAAAATTCTCATTATTTTCAAAAACCAGCTAACACGGATTATAACAAATGTGTCACTCTGGTATGGAGTGTCAACAGAGAGAAGCTGGACGTGAAGGAACAGGAGGTGTATGGGAACTCTGTACCACTTATTCAATTTTGCTGTGAACCTAAAAGTGCTATAAAAAATAAACTTTAAAAATGTAATAAATGTTAAATCTTATTTCGAAAGCCATGTTAAGTATTTTAAAACTATCTTTTGTTAAGTTATGATACTGGTAGCCAAAATCAGAGGAAACAGCAATGCATATTTAAAAAATGGATAAAACCTGATACCAGGTACAGGAATGGGGAGGAAATGGGGAGAAGGAGATCAAAAGGCACACATTTGCAATTAGACAGAATAAGTCTAGCAAGCTGATATACAGTATGAGGACTAGAATTCATTATACTGTGCTGTATATTAAACATTTGCTGAGAGTAGATTTTAGGTGCTCTTATCACAAAAAACAGGTAACTAAGAAAGGCAATGGGTTTTTTTTGACTGTAGTAATCATTTCACTGTGTACATGTATATTAAAACATTATTCTGTACATCTTAAATATATACCAAAGAAATTAGGGGAAAAAATAGGGATTTAGGAGATAGAATCCATGTGATTTGAGAGCTAACTGGATGGTGGCAGGAAGGTCAGTAAAGACAAAAGCCAAAAATGATGGTCAGGGTTTGGGCTTGAACAACTCAAATGTTTAAACAAAAATGTTTGGTATTTTGCAGTTTTTTTGTTTTTGAAAGGGCAGGTGAATTTATTAGGAGTGTATTAGGAGTTTATTACTTTATGGTAAAGTAAGACACAAATCAGGGTTTGGACCTGATTTTGAATTTGTGGTGTTTGGGGAAAACAAAACAGCAATAGGTGCTAGAAACTGGGACAATGAAAACATGGAGAGCAATCTGGTCTAGAGCCATGAACCTGGGATTTACCATCACATTACATGGAAATGCGTAACTTCAGCCAAAATGGGGCCCAGGAAGAACATATAAAGGTAGGCAAGAAGCCAGCCAGCCCATGAAAACAATTTACCTGGTCTGTATAAACATCAGGGGGCACAGCCTTATTAAAGAAGTCAGAACACACAGCTCCTGCCTGGAGGTAATAGTGAAGAGCTGCTGAATACTGATTTGTTGCTGAAGCAGAAAAACAGACATAAAGCATTAGAGGTAACAGCTGAAAAACAGGGCTTCCTTTGTGAAGAGTCAGGTATAACTTCATGAGTTAACAAAAGCAGACTGAAACCAAAGATCTAGAAATAAAACTTTAGTTCAGATTTCTTGTCAAATGTCCTAGTAAAGAATTTAGTATTTAGAGATTTTATTTCCTAAATGTCCAAACTAGAAACAAATCCTAATTTTATAAAGTAGTACAGAGTAAATATATCAAGAACTTGATAGCTATCAAGTTGGTGTCTTGAATATGACAGATATCAAGAATTTGATAGCTTCTTTTGGGGGCTGGGGTGGAAATGAGCATTAAAATCGGTATTTGTTTCAAAATAATCCAGAGAAGAGAGGAATGGTGTGAGAAAGGGGACACATGAAACATGCCTGGCCATGAGCTAATGATTTAATTAGTAGCTGGGTGGTGGACATATGGGTGTTCAGCACACTATCCCTTTTATCTTCACATCTTGAACTTTGGCTTTAAAAAATTCAACTCTTAACAAGCATGAGAGGAAAAAAATTTAAAAATCAAAAACCAACTCCTAAAACACAGATTCTAAAATAATGCTAGTCAGAAATTTCATTTGCTCTACAGAGCAACAAAAGCATCGAAAATTTTATATCAAGTGGGAAAACACGATCACATATAACCAGCAGGGGGGTGATGGGGAGAGTTAAGCTGTATCTCCAAGAATACAAATAATGATCAAGTGTACCTGGAGAGATTTTAGAATCTCTAACCAGCAATTTTGCAATGAAAACCTCATTCTCCTTTAAAGATGTTTTACCGATTAGATCTTTAAAATTCACTATTTTTTAAAAGAAGAAAAAACGTAGTCAACAGAAAATTAAAAGCATCTGGACCAAAGATTCTACACTTAAAAAAGCATAAATACTTTCACTGCTTTAATTTTACTAAAGACAAGTAAATCTCAAGAAAACTTAATAGTAATAATAGTGCAGTGTAGTGTAATAAAATATGTCATATATTTACTTTCACTTCAAACAGTGCTATAAAAACAAAACATAAAGCAACCAAACATCTCACTTACCAAAATAAATATCTGCCTGGATAATTAACCAGGAATGGTTATTTGGATTTATACTGAGTGTATATCGAACTAGTTCTTTCACTGTGATTGCCACAGCTTCGAAGTCCACAGACTGGAGGCTAAAGGAAAGACATATAACATTAATCTATATTTTAAAAGTCAACTTTAAATTCCAAGCATGTATTTATTAAAAACAAAAAGATTCAGCCAAAATTTAGGTGAACATAAATATAATGCTAAATGCTAGGAGTAAATCTATTATAAGAACTATCAACCAACTAAGTCTAAGAAAGTGTGATGAGCTAACATTTTATAAGCGGTTGAAAACAATCTGATTTTTGTTCTGTTTTCCTCAAAATGTCAAAGGTAGACAAGACTGCACCAAGAAAGTGAATTTGCATCTTTTACAAATGTTTAAAGCATATAAAAGATAAAACTGTTACCTCTGTTTTTAGCAAAATTTATAGGCAACAAAAGAAAAAAGACTCCTAAAATTTCCCCAAAATGATTTTTTTTTTTTTTTTTTTAAAAGACAGAGTCTTGCTCTATCACCCTGGCTGGAGTGGCAGATCTCAGCTCACTGCAAGCTCTGCCTCCCGGGTTCAACAGATTCTCCTGCCTTGGCCTCCCAAGGAACTGGGATGGGATTATAGGTGCCTGCCACCACACCGCACCCAGTGTTTTTTTTTTTTTTTTTTTCAGTAGAGACAGGGTTTCACCATGTTGGCCTCCTGGTCTCAAACTTCTGACCTCAGGTAATCTGACCACCTCAGCCTTCCAAAGTGCACCTAGCCCGCAAATAAGTTCTGTCATCTATGAGAAGCCACAAAAAAATCAACAACTCAGACACTGACAATGCTGCCACGTGGCTTTACATCCACCTTAAGGCTTCTTGTAAGAGTTGCTGACTCCCCTGGAGGAGATGTTTCAGAGGCTTTAACAGGGTGAGGGACCAGACAAGTCTATCATGTGAGTGCATTGGGCAGCCCCCGAGAATCAAGAAAAAGGTACTGTGAGCCTGGCTAAATGTGGACACCTTGAGGTACAGAGTCAGAAGGTGGAACTATGAGGAGAAAAGCCAGGCTGGCACCCAAGAAACTGCTAGCTGCTGCTGCTTCCTACAAGCAGTAAAGCACAGGGGCAGAGAATATAGACGGTGGATTCCAACACATGGCTCTATCATTTACAAGGTGAATTTAGACAAGGCACTTCTGCTGCCCTGAGGGGTTAGAGTTTACCATAACTCACCACTGTGCATTTGTAACATTTACAAATGTTATAAGTCTAAGAATTCTATACATCAAATAGTTGGTTTTAAAAAGGTAATCTTCAATCCAGTGCCATTCCCACTATTCTTGAAATCCATAGATGCCCACTCAGGAGAAATACTTTCTCTGGTCAAACATTGTCATATTTTCTTTTCTTTAGGTCAATTTACATAAAAGTATTTTCATCATGATGATAATAGTTAAGCCTATTATGTACCAGGCTTTATTCTAAATGTGTAGCTTAGGAAACATACTATTTCATCCCCAAAATTCTGAGGCAGGTACTATTTTAGAGATGAGAAACCTGGCACTAAAAGCAACTTACTGAAAGTCATATCCTCTAAGCAGAAAGGCTGGGGCTCAAACCCCGTGAGCCTGGCCCAGAGCCCCTAGGATAAACTATTCTTTTGCTTCATTTATAAACACATTGGAAAACAATCATTACAGTCTAAACTTAGGCCACAGAGGTAATACTACAGAGGCTAAAAAACACAACCACTGGGTGGGGCACAGTGGTTCATACCTGCAATCCCAGCACTTTGGAAAGCCAAGGCAGTGTCAAATCACTTGACTCAGGAGTTCGAGACTAGCCTGGCCAACATAGTGAAACCCCGTCTCTACTAAAAATATAAAAATTAGCCAGGTGTGGTGGTGCATGCCTGTAGTCCCAGCTCCTCAGGAGGCTGAGGCTGGAGAGTTGCTCAAATCTGGGAAGTGGAGGTCACAGTAAGCCCAAATCATGCCACTGCACTCCACCTTGGGTGACAGAGTGAGACTGTCTCAAACAAAACAAACAAAAAGCACAACCACTGATACCAACAATTAAAACTACAAAACTGGCAGGTACAGCGGCTAATGCCTATAATCTCAGAGTTCTGGGAAGCCAAGGTGGGAGGATCTCTTGAGGCCAGGAGTTCAAGACCAGCCTGGCCAACATGGTGAAACCCCACCTCTACTAAAAATACAAATTAATAGCTGGACATGGTGGTGCACAACTGTAATCCCAGTTACTTAGGAGGCTGAGGCATGAGAATTGCTTGAACCTGGCAAATGGACGTTGCAGTGAGCTGAGATCTTGCTACTGCACTCCAGCCTGGGCGACACAGCAAGACTATAGCTCAAAAAAAAAAAAAAAAAAAAAAAAAGAAAAACTGTTTCTACCTGATTCTTTGATTGCTATCTAACAACAGATTTTATATAAAAATCAGAAACATGTGGACTCTGCAGTTCAAATGCTATGGAGCACACATGCATGGTTCACGCAGCATGGTGCTCCCTTGGGAAATAAGACTCAGTTAAGTGAAGGGCAGGGGCACTCACCTGCTCTGACCCTCCAAATCCCTGGATGAGACAGAGTTTTTCCAATCTCTAAGACTGAGATGGAAGCACATTCTTTACTGTTATTCTATTATCAGCTCACCTACCCACCAAAATCTTTTCTTCTTCAAAGATGCCGCAGAAGGCTTGGACAAGCACAAAGTAAAAAGACTGAGAGGGAGGGCAGGGGAGAAAAACATTTGTGAGGAAACAAGTGGATTCCCCTACATGAGAAGTTGCTACATGTGGGAAAAGAAAAATGAAAATGATGTCTTCAAGTAAATGAAGACTTTTTCCTCCCCTAAAAAAAGTCCCCATCATCTTACTGTGATTCTCAGATAATGTATGCCAAAGGGAGTATTTCTCAAAGTAACTAAAGAAGTTAAAAGAGATTGGGGGCCTTTGATAATTACAGCATTAGATGAGACATACAAAAAATTATGAAAAAACAAATCACTTTCAAACGGATACCTGTAAAAGAGATAAGATGCTGGAAACCTTATAGAAAGTCATTCTTTCATTGGCCCCAATTTTCCAATTCTACTGACAACTAATCAGGACCACTTAGATCTTCTGTTCTAAGGCTGATAAATCTGAACTCCTACTTAACAGTTATGCTGGGCCAGGTGTGGTGGCTCCTGCCTAATCTCAGCACTTTGGGAGGCTGAGGGAAGTGGATCGCTTGGGGTCAGGAGTTCAAGACCAGTCTGGCCAACATGGCAAAACCATGTCTCTACTAAAAATACAAAAATCAGCCAGGCGTGGTGGCGGGCATGTGAAATCCCAGCTGTTTGGGAGGCTGAGGCACGAGAACTGCTTGAACCTGGGAGGCGGAGGTTGCGGAGCTTGCACCACTGCATTCCAGCCTGGGCAACAGTGAGACTCAGTCTCAAAAAAAAAAAAGCTATGCCTTATCCACAATTTATAGGAAGATAATTATCATACTAGAGAAACACAAAGACTGTAGAATCTTAGATTTCTGGCCCTTTAATAAAATTATCTAAGGGTATCTATACTAGTCAGAATGGTTTCCAAATACATAACTCATTCAATAAAATATAAGCCATGCCACTACTTACTTGGGAATGGAAGATGGCCAAATAGAAATGTGTTCAGCTGTAATATCATTCACAATGTCCTCCTATAAAAAAAAAAAAAGAAAAAAGGTATGATTTACGAAATTTCTTTCCAATATTTTAAAATGAAATTATGAAATACTTACCCGAACATTGTGAAGTTTCACAAAGAGTGATAAAATAATAGTCAAAACCAGTGGTTCCTATGAGAAAGAATACACAGTATCCTTAAATAGTGTGCGTATTTAATATTTCTCCTGTCAACCTCACAGACATCAAGCATTTTAAAAGACTCCTGTCTTTTCTAAACTTAACATCTGCTTTAGAGCAAACTAAAAGTCAACTTTATTTTTAATTGCATGGGGTGGGGAAATCACAGCATGTAATTTACATAAAATTAGCATATTTAAATGTATGTTTTATAGTGCTATCTCCAAGCTCAACTCCTCACGTGACTTTTTATTCCTTAAAATAATGTTCAAAGGATGAAACCTAAGTTATGTCCAGTAAATAAATATGACATTGATCCTACTAAGCAAAAATTAAAGCCAAGCCTCACACATCTAGCCCCTACTATGAAGACTTCCTTAAAATTCAAAGAAATGCCTGCTCTGTTCACTAAAACATGGTAAATGCAAAACAAACTTTCCAATCAGATTACCCCACCCACCAATAATAATCACTCAAGAAAAGCACATTAACAGGTCACCTTAATAATTTCTCTAGAGGCCGGGCACGGTGGCTCACGCCTGTAATCCCGGCACTTTGGGAGGCTGAGGCAGGTAGATCTCGAGGTCAAGAGATCGAGACCATCCTGGTCAACATGGTGAAACCCCGTCTCTACTAAAAATACAAAAAACATTAGCTGGGCATGGTGGCGCGTGCCTGTAATCCCAGCTACTCAGGAGGTTGAGGCAGGAGAATTGCCTGAACCCAGGAGGCGGAGGTTGCGGTGAGCCGAGATCGCGCCATTGCACTCCAGCCTGGGTAGCAAGAGTGAAACTCCGTCTCAAAAAAAATAATAATAATAATTTATCTAGAGGCCAGGCAAGGTGGCTAACACCTGTAATCCCAGCATTTTGAGGGGCCAAAAAGGAAGGATCACTGGAGGCCAGGAGCTGGAAACTAGCCTGAGCAAAAAGCGGAGACCTCATCCCTACAAAAAATTAGCTGGGCATGGTGACATGTGCCTGCAATCCCAGCTACTCAGAAAGCTGAGGCGGGAGGATTGCTTAAGCTCAAGAGTTAGAAGATGGTGTGAAACACCTCAGCACTCCAGCCTGGGTGACAGAAAAACCCCGTCTCTTAAAAAAAAAAAAAATAAACTAAAAGAAATAATAATTCATTCAGTTTTTGAAGTAACCAGTATTTTTTAAGTCATATTCTACAAAAATCAGCAACGGTAATTAGAGCAATTTTTAATAAAACTTACTCGTAATTTTTTGATAAAAGAAAGCAGTTCACTCCTACAAAACAAAAATTTTTGAATACACATTTAATAATAGAAATCAAGAAAGAAAATTACAGGTGAAGGTTTATTCTTAATGCTCCAATTCTGCAAGTATGAAAAAGAATGTAATAGTCTACTGTTATACCAACCTAATAACATTTCTTCCCTGTTTTCATTACATGTAAAGTCTTTAATACTATTCAACCTGAAACACTGCTGATTTTGAATTCCAGTTGATTAAATGATTTCTTAAAATGACATATAAACAGAAGACATTTCCAAAGGTGGCCATGGCACACAGGTGCATCACAGACGAATACTACAGAACTCCTAAGATTGTGCATTTTTATAATACACAGAATAAAAGCTGATGTTCTTGAAATCAACCTTTAATAGGTTAATAAATAGGATAAATAATAAGAACTCAAATGCAACTGACGGAAACATACCAATACATACCGATACATAATACCTAGCGTAGATTCCCTCTGCTTTATTAAACTAACTCTGCCATCATTTCCTCGCTTGTGCTGACTGGACACACTGCAAATTTGAACAACAACTTCCCAAAGGTCTTTGGCTGTCCGTCTACTTTCTTTAGGGCCTGGAAGTTCTTTGCATGTAGCTGCTAAAAGCTGTCCAAGCTATAACATGAAAAACAAAATACACAAAAGATCACCTGTAACGTCATGCGGATTAGTTCTGTTACCAAGGCACACCGGAGGAAAGATGCATTGACTGCCCAGACAGACAAAGCACAGTTATTTCATGCTGTGCATTCCATACAACTGAGGAATTCAGGGCTCGCTGTCTACTGACAGATCTGAATCTGAGAAAGATCCTCTGGTTCAAGCAGACAAACTTTGTCTCTGAACAATTATAGACTAGTGAAAATGACAATGAGACAATGCAAAGACACAGATGATTTATCAAGTGTGGAAAAAAACACAAGTTGCTAAATACACATAGTACGATCCCACGTTAGTTACACAGAAAAAAGAAAAGGTGTAATGGAAGGCACACACCAAGATTTTAACTGTAGTAAAAGCCCAGGGGGTGAGATTAAAATGATGCTTAGATTTCTCTCTCTCTCTTTCTCTCTCACACACACAGCTTTTAATCACTGAAAAAAATTGTTTTAATGAGAAAAGGAAAGGAATAAGGAAACTGAAGTTGGCAGATATAAGAGATACAGATTTAAAGCAATTTTTCTCTAAGAAATTGACACCAATTGGGAATGAAGCTACTATTCACCTGAGGAGGCAGAAGTAAGGCAGGACAGGTTACGCAAAGTGACTGATGTGAATAAAAGCAGCCTCAAGGACCTAAGATGTAGGGAGCATCCAGAAATAAAGAGTGGAAAGGCTAAAAGCAAAAAGCAGATAAAGACTGACTGACATCAAATTCAGAATTTTTTTTTCTTTTTTTTGGAGACAGGGTCTTGCTCTGCACCCAGGCTGGAGTACAGCGGCACGATCTTGGCTCACTGCAACCTCTGCCTCCTAAGCTCAAACAATTCTTGTGCCTCAGCCTCCTGAGCAGCTGGAATTATAGGCATGTGCCACCATGCCCAGCTAATTTCTGTATTTTTGGTAGACTCAGGGTTTTACCATGTTAGCCAGGCTGGTCTCGAGCTCCTGGCCTCAAGTGATTCATCCGCCTCAGCCTCCCCACGTGCTGAGATTACAGGGATGAGCCACAGCACCCGGCCAAATTCAGAATTGGGCCCTTTTATCCTTGTTCATATTAACTTTTATACCCCATGCCTCTTGTAGAGGGTGCAGTAGCGAGCAATTTTGAATTCATCAGGAACCCCTGGTTCCTACTGAAAATGGACCTACAAAGTTTTCTAGGGGTCCCTACTGCTTAAGGTGGTTTTTTTAAGGAGGTGGCAAGATTGTGATAAAGACAAAAACTGGCGGTTCTTCCCAAATTTTTTTATTATGAAAAATTTTAAACAGAAAAAAACCAAAAGAATAGTTCAATACATACCTGACACATTGTGACTATTCTGCCATGCTTGCTTTACATATCTACATAAATTGTTCTGTTAAACCATATTAAACTAAGTTAGGCACAACATTTCATCCCTAAATGCTTCCATATACATCTTCTAAGAACAAGGACATTCCTCTCCATAGCCACAACTCTGTGATCATGAAAATTAACAAGAGTACTGTGGCTTTCCAAAGCTAGTGAGAGTGACATAAAAACCCTACCTATACTAGGTGAATGGACATGGACCAGTAGCCTAGCAGACATTTCATCCAGCATGCTCCCCTAACATACTCTTCTCTGACAACTGGGATCACAATACACGCAGCTATTTACTGCACTGTAATGCCAGGGCTTCAGCAGCTCTTAGCTCAAACTCACCTGCTGTTGTCAGTGATCACATGCTTTAGGTCACTAAATTTACTTATTTATTTTTATATATTTTATTGCACTTTAGGTCATTAAATTTATTGCGTAAGTTTAAAAGAATTTTTGGGGCCAGGTGCTGTGGCTCACGACTGTAATCCCAGCACTTTGGGAGGCCGAGGTGGGCAGATCACCTGCAGTCGGGAGTTCGAGACCAGCCTGGCCAACACGGCAAAACCCCATCTCTACAAAAAATACAAAATTAGCCGGACATGGTGGTGCACACCTGTAATTCTAGCTACCCAGGAGGCTGAGGCAGGAGAATCGCTTGAACCTGGGAGGCTGGCATTGCAGTGAGCTGAGATCACGCCATTGCACTCCAGCCTGGGCAACAAGAGGGAAACTCCGTCTCAAAAAAAAAAAGAATTTTCAGAGGTCTTAGGTCCCAAACCAATTGAATTCCACAAACATTCTTGAGCACCTACTATGTGCTGGGCATCATGGAAAGCACAACATAAAAATCAACTGCCCTGAAGCAGCTCATTATAGAGAAGACAAGTGGACAAATAACTTACTATTCAGCATAAACACAACAAAAGAAGTATCTCAACGGTACAACAGCAGCAGCATCAGTACAACAGTACAAAGGCAGCAAGGAGAGGAAGCAAGTCACTCATTTACACAGAAAAGAATATGAGAAAGTATCAGAGAAATCACACGAACAGGCAAAGCTGGGAAGGACATCCAGGCTGAGAAGACAAACAGTGTGTGCACAGGTGCAGAATAGGAAACATGGCATGGGCATGCTAGTGCTGCCAGCACAGGGCTGGAAGGTCAAGGGGCAGGGGAGCTGCACCTGGAGAAGAAGCACGCACACCTTAAGAGGCCTGGCAGGTCACATGAACAACCTAAGGTTTTAGCCTACACTAGCATCACTATGACTGCCAACCCCTCCTACTGCTACCTAGACTTTTACCATGCAAGTGCCTATAAATCCTGTGCCCTTCCCATTATGTGGCACTGCCTCCCACCCTGATCCAAGGGGCATACTAGACAGTTTCATATTATTTCAAAAGGGTGTATTTTTAGTCATATGCTTACAAATTTTCTGTTCCTATTTGTGATTACACAATACATATTCGAGTTAAGAAAATATGTAACAGAATAGAAAACATTAAAATCACCTAATATCCCATTATCCAGAAATAATGGCTGTTAATAACCTTTCAGACTTTTTCCTACGTGTGTGTGTGTGTATGTGTGTGGCGTATTCCACACTGCATTGGAAGTGTGGAAACTGATCCAAATTGCATTTTTTTCAAAACAGGATCCCTCATTCTAAACTTCTTTCTCTAATTCCTTTTTCCTTGACATTAACAAGGCAGTGAGGCCAATTATGTATGGAAGGTAACACACAAAACCCTAACCACCAGATGACACAAGAAGACACCTAAGTGACTTTTCTTTAACAAAGTCACCACACATCCTTCCTCTTTTGGACCAGATCAGGGGAACTGCAGGAAGCAGTGAGATAGCCTCTCTCAGAGTTAAGCAACCTATAAAACAATTTCCTGTGTCTTACACATTGCAGACCCTCAAGCATTCGTTACACAATCATATGCCCATCTCTCCTGCTGCACAGCTCCACAGAATTCACTGCCAGAGGTAAAGCGAAAAGTTACTACACTGTCTTAGCACTCAGCAACAAGCTACGATTCTCCATGTAAATGACAGTAACGTTGGAACAAAATGGTTCCCTCATCTGATTTTCTTAAGGCTAAGAAAAGACCATTGGGCATAATAAGACAAGTGCCCAAGATATTAAGAACTCATATGCCAGAAAGTTCACTAAAGAGATAGATATGATTCAGGCCAGGCACAGTGGCTATGCCTGTAATCCCAGCTCTTTGGGAGGCCCAGGTGGGTGGATCACCTGAGGTCAGGAGTTCGAG